ATGGATTTCGGTGCCTAAACAAGTCAAACATGAAAAGCATGTTATATATATAGTAAACTTTCAAACTCAACTTGATTCAATTAGTAGTAAAACTTGAAATTTATCTATAGATTTTTCAACCTACATGTACAAAGCTCAAGCTCAATTTGACAAAAGCTTGTTTGAGTTTGACATAATAAATATCAAGTCAAACTTGGATAAAATTTCAAACTCATTAAAGTAAACAAACAAGTTTAAATACTGGAGTGTCGAGGTTGATTAAGTTCATTTACATCTCTAATCCCAACTAATATAATCTTAACCAACTTTGGGATTTGTCCACACAATAATGCTGTCTATAAAATCCCCACATTTAAGACGTATATATGCTTCTTACATTGGCGTCTAATTTCCTAGATCCATCACCAATTTGGACTATTGATCATATAGCTAGGTTGATATGAAGAAACACTTTTATTTCTACCCTCTTGCAGTATTTGTTTTGCTGCACTATCTAATGATGACCAGTTGCACAGCCATGAAAAGATTAAGTTTAGGCACTGATCAATCTGCTCTGTTAGCCCTGAAAGCCCGTATCACTTCAGAACGGCATGAATTCCTGTCAAAAAAACTGGTCTTCTACAGCTGCTCCATCCTCTGTCTGTGACTGGATAGGCGTCCAGTGCAGCTCTCGACACCAAAGAGTGACTGCTTTAAATATTTCAAACATGGGACTCACCGGCACAATACCTCCGGATTTGGGAAACCTCTCCTTTCTTGTTTCTCTTGATTTGGGAAATAACTACTTCCACGGAAATCTGCCAGAAGAGTTCTCACACCTGCGCTGCCCGAGGTACTTCAGGTTAACATCTAACAACTTCAATGGAGAGATTGCAATGTGGTTTGGTCGCTTTCCAGAGCTCCAGTTCTTGTTTCTGGACAGCAATGGTTTTAGTGGTTTTATTCCTCCTTCAATCTCCAACTCGTCAAAACTGGAAACCATGGTTTTAGCAGAAAATTTCCTGGAAGGAAATATTCCAGAAAAGATAGGAAATCTTTCAGCCCTCAAATTGCTGTCTTTTTTTCGGAATTATTTAGCTGGTCAAATACCATTGAGCTTATGCAAGATTTCTCAACTTCAATCGCTAGACTTGTCATCCAACAGGTTTAGCGGGCACATACCTAAAGAAATTGGAAATCTGGAGAAGCTTACGTATTTATCCCTCATGACTAACAACTTCACAGGTAATGCTTTTGCTTTGCCTTTTTGCATACGAACAAGGCCAAACTGCAATTAATGGTCATTTTTCCCTGTTTGGCACTGGGATTCAACACTATTTACTGTTTTACCAGCATGGCTTGGATGGCCTTTTTTTTTTTTTTTAAAAAAAAATTACTATTGCAACACCTCTGCTTGTTTATTCCAGAAAATTAAAAGCATAATTACCAACACAAATTTCTGTTTGCTAGTCACATCTCGACCAAGTAAGACAGTTCTCAATATATCTCTGAAATGAATATGATTAGTGCTGTCTTTGCACAAAATTGTCAGGTGTAATTCTCCGAGAGATTGGCAAACTACATGATTTGAAGGTCCTCGTGTTGGGGCGTAACAACTTGACAGGTAATCTGGTCTATGAATAGCTTCACCACTACTTATGGTCTATTTACAATCATGCAACTAGCAAATATTTGGAGCAAGTTCTGGGTGAAATGATTTCATGTCATGTCTATTTGAATGCCCATAAACTTCATCAGATACTCCTACTTACTATGGAAAACATCCACCAAAAAAAAAAAAACTTAGAAGTTCTGAAGAGCTATATATTCCTTAGACGTAACTAAAGGTATCAATAATAACCTAATTATGTTGATCCGTCCAAACCCGTATACTAATAACCCGCCTATTAATTTTGAATAGATCTAAATAGATATCCAATTAAATTCATCTAATTGGTGGATAATGGGTTGACTCAACTCACTCATTTATACTCATTTAAAAATAATTATACATTTTAAATTAGCTTTTAATGAGTGTTAAGTAAATAAATTTTTTTTTTGTCAAACAACACGCAAAAAAAAAAAATAGGAAAAAAAAGAGTAGAATTTTAAGTGACTGATAAATGGGTAATTGGGTATACCCAAACCTATTTATTTAATGAGTATAAATTTGCTAGCCTACCTGCATTTGTGATTGGCAGGTACGATTCCACGAGAGATAGGCAATCTCCAAAACCTACAGGGGCTCAATCTGGAATTGAATCAAATCACGGGAAGCATTCCAAGAGAAATTGGGAATTTGACAATGCTTACTGAACTCTACTTCGCCAACAACTCCTTGACAGGTAGTAACCTTCTCTCTACCGAAAAACACTTTTCAAACTAAAGCCAACTTTGCGTCAAAAAAGGCGTTTTGCATCTGATACTTTTCTAACTAAAGCTTCAGATCTGTCTTTGAGACATCATGATGTCTAGCAAAAGCATCTACGGAATTGAGGTAAGGTCCGGCCACTAGTGTCGGTGATGGTTGTGGCGGCAGCCCAACCCTCTCCTGAGGGTGGGAAACATTCTGAGTCGTCGGTCTTTCGTTCGAAGACATTCTCTGAACTGTTCTCTTCTTCCCAACAACGGGACTCAATCACAGCGACGCTGACGACCCACCGTGGGGAGCCTGCGGTCTCCTTCTCTTCCTCTGCCATTGAAATTGTAGCGCTACCTTTTCGGTTTGCACTAGTAGGCAAGTTTTCCCGGTCGAGACCTCGCATAGAGGATATCAAGAAATTCTTTTGCTCACTGGATTTGAAGGACTCCTTTTCCGTGGGTTTGTTGGATGCGCGGCACATTCTGATCAAGCTGCACAATGAATCAGATTTTCTGCGAGTTTGGACGCGTAATGTGTGGTATGTATTTGGGAAACCCATGAGGGTGTTCAAATGATCCTCTACCTTCCATGTTGATAGGGAATCCTCATTGCTACCTGTCTGGTTCAGTCTTCCAAAGCTCCCAGTGCACTTATTTGATAAGCAATGTCTGTTCCAGATAGTGTCTTGTCTGGGGCGACCACTGTTCATTGATTCGGCAACTGCAGCGATAACCAGACCCAGTGTGGCTCGGGTCTGTGTCGAGGTTGATCTCCTGAAGGAGCTGCCTCCACGAGTCTGGATTCAGATAGGAGAGGGGCATGGTTTTTGGCAGCCACTCGATCCAGAAAGCATGCCAAAATACTGTGATCACTGCTATCGCCAAGGTCATAACCATACAGAGTGCCACATCAAGCATCTAGAATTGCGTCCGAAATTTATTCATGGAGAAGAGAAGAAGGTGTCACGCAAGGAGTCTACGTTGGCCGCTGGATCTGCGAAGGAGGTTTCAGATCTGGTAGGAGGTCGTGGAGATGCCGAAAAATTGGAATTTATCGTTGCTGGGACAAGGGGAAGCTCGGTAATGGTGTCGACAGATGTGGGATGAGGACCTGATGTCGCTGATGTGCATGGGAAGGTTGAAAGATCTGCTACCGTTGTTATGCATGAGTGATAGGTTACAATTTTATCATTTATTTTATTATTAATTTCCCCTATTACCTGATTCGATGTGGATTAATTGTTAGATTCTACTCACTTTTGGTATTTTGTACTTATTTCAGGAAGTAGAACGAAAATATGATAACAGGTGCCAATTTAACAGAAAAGGAGTCCAGATGATAGAGCTTGTCCCAGGGCATTTTTGAAAAAAGAAGACGTTGTGCCCATTTTGGTAAATTGCGGAAGAGGGCAGCGGACGAAGGGACTTGGAAAAAAAGAAGCCGCCGCACAGTAGCATAAAAGACTACTACACAAGCAGAGGCCCCGTCCTGGGCCTATACGCCTGGCAGCCCAGGGAGGCCTGAGCTGGGCCTAGACCCCGGGCCCATGGAACCGTCCCGCGGCCCTCTGCTGCTAGGGCTCCGAGGGGCTCCAGAGAACAATCCCGTATAGGTCGGGATTGATCCCCCTCAATGCGGGATTGAGACTATTCTAGGCAAGCCCCGAAACGTACGGAGGTCGGACTCCCTCAACAGGTATAAATCATAACGCACACCGACTGCGCAAGGTACGCTCTCACTATTCGACAATTACTCCCGTCCGTTTACTTCCCGTGAATCTCACTCACCGGAAAACTAACTTCACCGTCGGAGTGCCCTCTGGGACGACCTCGGGGCTCCCCTATTAGTTCACTCTCTTGTTCGCTTTGCAGGCTAGGGACACGCTCTTCTCATCAGCACGCCGAGCTCATCAGGTCAGCTCGGTCCGGAGAAGTTCAGTGCTTTTTCAGTTGGCGTCGTCTGTGGGAAAGAAGGTACGAGTAGTTGTATTGATGGCGAGAACGCGTTCAAAGCGAACCGTAGAGAACACCGATCCCGGAGCTGGCGAGGGGTCCCGGCGAATGGAGACCGAGGCGACCCGGGACGCCGGGGGCTCAGCCCTTTCTGGGGAACGGAGACAGCAGATCTTTCAGTTCGTGACGGAGAACCTTCCCATGCTGGAAGACATAATTCGGCAAGCGAAGAAGGGGGTTGAAGCCGGTGGCGTGCAGACCTCTAAGGCGAAGGGGAAAGAGAGGGAATCACCTCCAGTTCCCTCAGAGGATGAGTTACGGGACCAGCCCCCCAGGAGGAAACGGCCACGGACTCCCCCTCGGTCGCGGGCCTCGGTGGTCGTGGACAGCGAGAGGTATTCTCGCGACCGGTCCGCGGGGGGCCGACCAAGGAATCCCTCATCCTGGAAACTTGCGCGGAACGAGTCTGAGCGTTCCCCCGCCCGATCTATCAAGAGCCGGCCGCGGGACCCCCCCAGTGGAAGCCTGTCCGGGACGAACTTGAGCAGATCCTGCGGTCACAATTGTACGAGAACAACTACACAGCCTCGCCCTTTACCCGAGGGATAGAGGACCACCCGTTACCTCGGAGATTCAAGATCCCGAACATCGAACTGTACGACGGCTCGACCGACCCGAAAGACCACCTTTCGGTCTTCCTGACGTACATGCGTCTGCAAACCGCTGCGGATGAGGTCCGCTGCAAAACCTTCCCCATGTTCCTGAAGGGAAAGGCCCGGCTCTGGTTCCAGGGTCTGGCACCGGGGTCCATCCGGAGTTTCCCCGAACTGGCCAAACAGTTCGCCGCCCAGTTCGTCTCCTCGAAGACTTACTCGAAAAACGTGACCCATCTGATGGCAATCATGCAGAAGCCGGACGAGTCCCTGAGAAATTTCATGACCCGCTTCAACACGGAGAGCTTGCAGATCAGGGACAAGGATGAAAAGGTGGTCATGGCCGTCTTCATGAACAGGCTCAGGGTGGAAGAGCTCTTCTACAAGCTCGCCGAGAAGCCTCCCGGAGACCTGGAAGAGCTCTTGACCAGGGTGCACGCGGCCGCCAATGCGGAGGAGGCTGCTCACCTGAAGAGAGAGTCAGATCGGGAGATCGGAGATCGGAGAGGACGGGAAACCCCCCCGAGAACAAGGACGGCCCGGCCAAGAAGAATGTTTTCGACCGGTTCTCAAAGGATAAAGCTCCCGATCAACCGCCGCTTCCGGAAAAAGGCTACACCCCCCTAACTTGGCCCAGAGCCCAGATTCTGACCGTTATGGAGGCGGAGGGCCTAGTAGAACGGCCACCTAAGATGGGGACACCCCGGAACAAGAGGAACCAGGACCGGTACTGTGCCTTCCACCGTGATGTTGGGCATGATACGGAGGGGTGCTGGGCCCTGCGAAAGGAGATCGAAGATCTGATCCAGCGTGGTTTCTTGGGGCGATTCGTGCGGCAAGGTCGACCAGGCCAGGAGCCAGAACGCACCTACCGCGGAGACAGGGGCGAGGGCCAGCGTCGTGACCGCCCTGAGCGGCGTGACGTTCCTCGGGGTCGCTCCCCCAACCAGGACACCCAGAACTTGGCAGGGGTAATAAACACCATCGCTGGGGGCCCCACGGGGGGGGACAGCCATGCCGCTGGGAAGAACAGGCGACCTCCCCCCGAGGGGGATGATTCCCTGAAGCGCTTGCGCATGAATGAGGAGATCACCTTCGGACCAAGGGATGCGATTCCCCTGGCGTCTGGAAATCACGAGACCATCGTGATAGACGTCGTGACTAATAATTATCGGGTGAAGATACGTCGACCAGGGGAGAGCGGTGGACATCATGTTTTACCGAGTGTTCAAGGAGTTCGGCTTAGAGGACGGACAGCTAACCCCGGTTCGGACACCCCTGGTGAGTTTCACCGGACCGCCCATTACTCCGGAGGGGATGATCACCCTGATGGTCACAATAGGGCAGGCACCCAAATGCCGGACCATCCCCGTCAACTTCGTGGTGGTCAATCAACAATCCCCATACAACGTGTTCTTGGGACGACCCGCCTTGAATGCCCTCCGAGCTATCCCCTCGTCTCTCCATCTCAGCGTCAAATTCCCCACCCCGGGAGGAATAGTTGAGGTGCACGGAGATCCCGAGGTGGCCAGAGCTTGCTACTTGGCCGTGCTCCGGGGACATGAGAAGGTGGTCGCCCAGACGACCAGCCTGGAGCCCTACATCCCGGGGGAGGAGACCCGACAGTTGGGCACCCAGGACGAGATCGAGGAATTCCACTTGAGGGAGGACAGGCCTGACCTCCGTATCGGGGCATCGTTGCCTTCCGAGGAGAAGGAGGGCCTGAAGGCCCTGTTAAAGGAATACTCCCGGATCTTCGCATGGACGGTTGAGGACATGCCCGGGATTTCAACTGATCTGGCCATCCACTACCTCAACGTGGATCCTCGCTTCAAGCCAGTAAAGCAGAAGAAGAGGAGTTTCGCCCCGGAGAGAAATGAGGTGATCAGAAAGGAGGTCGGCAAGCTGCTAGAATCCAAGATCATCTTGGAGGTATATTACCTGACCTGGTTAGCCAATCCCGTCCTGGTGAAGGAGGACCAGTTTTGGAGGATGTGTGTGGATTTCACAGATCTCAATAAGGCCTGCCCAAAGGACTGTTTCCCCTTGCCAAGGATCGACAGGTTAGTAGACTCTACTGTGGGTTTTGACATTTTGTGTTTCTTGGACGCTTTCAAGCGATACCACCAGATAGAGATGGCCGAGAAAGATCGGGAGAAGACTCCCTTCATCACCGAGAAAGGAATTTACTACTACCGGACCATGCCGTTTGGGCTAAAGAACGCTGGAGCTACCTACCAACGTCTGGTCAACAAATTGTTCCAGAATCAGATCGGCAAGAGTATGGAGGTCTACGTGGATGATATGATCGTCAAGAGCCGAACTGACCGGCAGCTCGTTCCCAACCTGAGAGAAATCCTGAACATTCTATGGAAAAATCGGATGCGGCTGAACCCGAAGAAATGTACCTTCGGGGTTACGTCGGGAAAGTTCCTGGGCTTCTTGATCTCCCGAGAGGGGATCCGGGCCAACCCGGATAAGCTCCAGGCCATCATGGACATGGCCCCCCGAGGAGCGTCAAGGAGGTCCAACGGCTCACGGGAAGGATGGCCGCCCTGAATAAATTCCTCTCGCCCTCCGCAGTAAGGGGGCTACCCTTCTTTCGAATCTTGAAAGCACCAAAGGACTTTCAATGGATGGAGGAATGCCAGAAAGCCTTCACCGACCTAAAAGCATACTTGGCTGAGCTGCCTGCTCTGACTGCCCCGGAGCAGGGAGAAACCCTGTTCCTATACTTGTCTGCTTGCAACGAGACCGTTAGCGCGGTTTTGGTGCGAGAGGATAGGAGGGTTCAAAGGCCAATATACTACGTTAGCCGTGCCTTACAAGGGCCGAACACATGGTACACGCCGGCGAAAAAATTGGTCCTCGCCCTGGTGCACGCCGCCCGGAAGCTCCGACCTTATTTCCAGACCCACAGCATTACCGTCCTGACGGATCAACCCTTACGACAGATACTCACAAAACCTGAGGTATCGGGCAGAATGACCAAATGGGCCGTCGAACTTGTCGAGCACGACATCGGCTATCAGTCTCGCACCGCTATCAAAGCTCAGGCCCTGGCAGACTTCCTCGCCGAGGGAGCCAGTCTGTCCGTGTCCGAGCCGAACTCTATGCCCGAGGAGGCGCTGCCGGAAGAGCCGTGGGTACTATTTGTAGACGGGGCCTCAAGTAAGGAGGGGAGCGGAGCCGGCCTGCTGCTCACCTCGCCCACCGGGGAGGAGTTGACCTACGCCCTCAGGTTTGACTTCCCGGCATCCAACAATGAGGCTGAGTACGAGACCCTATTGACAGGATTGCGGATAGCCCACCAGATGGGTATAACCGCGATCAGGGTCCAGAGTGACTCTCAGCTAGTAGTCTACCAGGTCCGCGGGGAGTACGAGGCCAATGAGGATGTCATGAAAAAATATTTGGCTAAGGTGCATGAGGCGATAAAACTGTTCGACATTTTTGAGATTGAGCGGGTGCCGAGGTCACAGAACAAGCGGGCGGACGCCCTGTCGAAACTGGAGTCCTCCTCGTTTGCCCACTTGAGCAAGAAAGTCTTGGTGGAGGTGGTTAAGCAAAAGAGCATTGGCCAGGTCTAGGTCCTGGCTATAGACAGCCCGGCTACTTGGATGAATCCTATCGTGGATTTCCTCAGCTCGGGTGCCCTTCCAGTGAATAAAACCGAGGCTCGCCGACTCCGACTCAGAACTGCTAAGTACGCCTATGCCGGGGGGACCCTTTACAGGAGGTCGTATTTGTCTTCCTGGCTAAAGTGCGTAACTCTTGAGGAGGGCGACTATGTTCTCCGAGAAGTTCACGAAGGCTTGTGCGGAGCACATGTGGGGTCCCGAATGTTGGCCAAGAAATACCTGCTCCTAGGCTACTACTGGCCCTCGTTGTTTCGGGATGCCGCAGCTCTTGTTCAGAAATGCCGAACTTGCCAGGTGCAGCCCCGCTACGCCACCAACCCACTCGGGAGATGGTCCCCATCTACAGTCCTTGGCCCTTTGCCCAGTGGGGAATAGATCTCTTGGGTCCCTTCCCCTGAGCTCCTGGAAGGTACGAACACCTCGTGGTGGCCATCGACTATTTCACAAAGTGAATGGAGGCCGAACCCCTGACCACTATCTCCGGAAGGGCAATTCAGAAGTTCTTCTGGAAGAACATAGTCTGCCGCTTCGGAATCCCGCATGTCTTGATATCCGACAACGGGCGACAGTTCGCTGAAAATCACTTCAGGAGCTCGGGATTAGCCAACATTTCACCTCGGTCGGACATCCCCAGGCCAACGGTCAGGTGGAGAACGTTAATCGAACCATTCTGCAAGGGCTGAAGACTAGGTTGGAAATAGTCCAGTCTAACTGGCTAGATGAACTCCCTAGCGTCCTCTGGGCTTACCGCACTACGCCGAGGACAGCCACTCATGAGACCCCGCTATCATAACGTGAAGGTGAGGAATACGCAGTACCAGCCAGGAGACCTCGTCCTAAGAAAGAACTCAGTCAGCCGAACTCATAACTCCAACAAGCTTGATCCGAACTGGGAGGGGCCGTACAAGATCCTAAAGACAAGCCGGGTTGGGTACTGTAAGCTTGCAAAATTAGACGGAATAGAGGTACCCCGCACTTGGCACTTCTCGAATTTGCGGTTGTTCGTAGGATAGGTTGGTCCAGGGTATCTTACTGTATTCTCTGGAATCTTCATACCAGTTCATCAATAAATAAATGTTAGGTTTTCAAGTTTTAAATCCATTCTCATTATCAATGCCGTTTTACTTTTCACTTCTACACTAGCACACTCAGATAATGCTAAGTGTCCTAGTGGGGGGCCCTGAGGGGTGATGAATGGTAACGGATGGAATGCCTTTCAAGTCTGAGAGATCGACGCTCGACCCAGGAGGTCGGCATGATCATTTTTAAAATTTTGACGCTCGACCCAGGAGGTCGGCGGCTAGGGGCCAAATTAACGGTCGGAGTGCTTTTCAAGTCTGAGAGATCGACGCTCGACCCAGGAGGTCGGCATGATTATCTTTAAAATTTTGACGCTCGACCCAGGAGGTCGGCGGCTAGGGGACAAATTAAAATAAGGAACCAACGGAATGCCTTTAAAGTTTGAGAATTGATGCTCGATCCAGGAGGTCGGCAGGGCTTAAAGCTTTAAAGTCTGATGCTCGGCCCAATAGGTCGGCAAAACTGTCTTTAGAATTCTGCCGCTCGACCTAGGAGGTCGGCGCAGCTTAAAAAACCTTAGGGCCCGATGCTCGACCCAAGAGGCCGGCACGCTGCTCCAGTAAATCAGGTTTGATGTTCGACCCTGGAGGTCGGCGTAACTTGAAGCCTGGAGGTTTGGTGTTCGGCCAAGGAGGTCGGTGCATCGCTTCGGTTAATAGAATTCGGTTACTAAGTCAGCCTGATAGTTTGACGGTTTGGCGTTCCTGACAACTTAGCTGTTGGCTTAAAAGTGTGGTGGATGCTCGACCCAAGAGGCCGACACCCCGTCTTGGCGGATCAGTTCGGTGTTCTACCCAGGTGGTCGGCAGGCCACTTCGATTATTCAGGTTCGCCGTAAGCAAAAATTGAAAGTCAAAATTAGGTGATTTTCATTGAATGTTATTTCATGTGTACATTCAGAAACTA